AGTCCTCGACCTTTCCCGTAGGACTGTCGTGACATGCAGTCGAGAGAGCACGCGTATAACCAACGTCCACCCAAGGCAGCCAGACTATTCGTCAGTCTCCAGGAATCCTGGGCATAGCGCTGTAAACTGCTGGGACTGGCTGTTAGATCGAAGGGCTGGCCTTCCATGAATTGCGGTACGCTATCCTTCAACTCCTGTTGCAAGGCAGCGTGACGAGCTTGTACGCCCAAGCGCATATTGATGCTTGCATTGGCGTTATCTGCAATTGCCAAGTGCTTATCTGGCACTTTATAAGCAGCTAGTGCTCAGGTAGAAGTGCATGCACGAACTTCAGGCATAATATGCTACAAGACGGGCCGTAGAGGATTGGTAACCTTCTCAAAGTGCCGATACGTTATGCAATTTGCGTGTATCCTAAACAGACATTAGGATAAATATGCTTAAGTGGCTCATTATTGAGCAAAGGTTCATCAGCAGTATAGTAATGTCAAGTCTGTAGCATGGATTGGAGGGATCATTTGTGGTGTGCCGGCGCTACAATAGTGCTCAACTTGGTCCTCTAATGGCCTGTTGACCAGAGAGAGTAGAAATGAAGCCTCAATAGCACAATTACGCAGTAAAGAAAGCCAGGAGGCCACGGCCGGTCGGCAGAAAGCCCCTGGTCCGGGTTCGCTGTGAGGCTGGCACTGCCGCCCAGGGGCCGGACGCGCTAGGGTCAGGAGGGAGTTCTATTATTTTCGGTTTTCCTCTTTAAGATCGAGGGGCAAGAATGCGTTTTTAAGGCTATTGCTTGTTATTTTTGACTGAACGAGAGAATATCCGCTGAGTGTAGCGATTGATATAGGGTGTGTACCTAAGCAGGCGTGTATGCACTAGCACGTAGTAGCAGCAGTGAGCGTTCACTACACCGCTGGTCATCCTATAAATATACGATGACCAGCGGTGTAGTGAACACTTGCTGAATCTTCCAGCTAGGCCGGAGAGACTTTGAAATCCCGCCGGCCATGAGAATAATCGGGTGCAACGAGACATGACAGCAGCGATTAGTAGGATATATTTGTTCTGTCGAGTTTCGTTCCTGAAGCATGATGCATGGCTGCCTCCACCGTCCAGGCTGTCCTATGTCCACGACGCCCGCCAAACGACCTAGTGGGAGGGAGCTGTGCAGGCGCGAACTGGGAAGAATACCAGAATCTTGTGGTGCGTTTATCGAGCTTTGGCCATATTCACAAGCATGCGAGCTCTGCGTACTGCGGAGATGAGGTCAGGGGGCAAGTGGCCAGCACCGCAGTACAAGGGCCGCTCTGAATTGCCTCGAGGCGTTAAAATAAGCCAAGAAGAGAGTACCAGATTATAAATGCAATTACAATAAGCGAACAAATGCGTAGCAGCCTGACCATGGTCAGGAGTGTCACCCGCCAGTGCAATAGAGGGATCGATGCGTCAGTTATCTCCTCGTCTTCAAATTGGATCCCCGAGCCACCTACTCATGTGTAAAATTTAGGCTCTATTTGTAGGCAATAGTTTGGAAAATGGCAGCGAAAACACGTCAAGCCCTTGCGTGCGCCGGCAATCCCAAAGCATAGTATTTCTGTAGCCGCTCGGCGTGTACGCCACAGCACGTGCAAATTCCTAATGAACCGCCTTATGGAACACGTAGACGCGCAACAGCACGAAGCATTTGCCCTCGTGTTGCAGCTCTACCTTATACAGGCAGGCGCGACAAAGGTTCCAGAGCCTGTAGGCATTACTTGTGTTGCTCGACCCAAACAATTGCAAGTTCCTTAGCGCGCTCGCCAAAATCCTCAGGCGCAGCCGCTCCCATCTCCAGTGTCTCATTTCGGACTTGGTTCTTTGCCATCCCGAGTGCATGATCAGCGCGCAGTATTCAATGCATATTTCCTCAAGAAACAACGAGGGCTACCGGCCTAGAAGTGTCGGTACTCTCAAAGCCTGTTCATGCGTCCGCATATGCCTGTTCCCAGCTTAACTCCGCTGCCCTGCATGGCGATGTGCCATGAATCGACGCACCCTCCTCAGCCTCATTCCAAGTTGTCAAGACATGCGCTAGCTGGAACATCTGTTCCTGTGAGAGTCCCTGGCCACAGAGGATACAACATTTCTGGCCAATCCATTCGACCTCGCCTGCTTCCAGCCACTGCCAGGCGTACTGGACAGGCTTCTGGCGGTGCGTGTAGATGGAGTTACAAGACAGTGCCAAGAGGCACTCCAAACATAAAACTGCTATGCGAGTGGAGAAAGTGCGAGCTCTCTTGGCCCAGCAGCTGCTCAGAGGTAGTCTCAATGTTCAGGATATCTTTATCATTAGGAAGCTTCCAGCCCAATAGGCGAATGGGAGTTCGCAATACTGCACAGCAAATAGTTCCGACGCTGTGAGCCAGCAATGCAGATGAGGGATGTAAATTAAGGGAGGGCTCAGAAGGCGAAGTAACATGATATTGCATGTGTTTAGGGGGGAAATGCAAAGTTGCTGAATGCAGGATCGTCGCCGGGGAACTCAGCAGGTTGAATATATCTCACGAGACATGGAGATACTCACAGTGCGCAAAGCTCGGTGAAGTAGCTCGCAACTGACTCTTGTTCATGTAGTCAAGCGGGCAATGATTGCCGTCCGTTCAGGAACTGAAACTTCCACAGCTAGGCGTTCTGCAGTGAAGTCCCCTGAGTGCTGTTTGGTGTGTTGTCACGCAACACTCACCAATGGCTTCAGCAACGCTTTGTACCCGCAGAAGCTCGCTTGTTCGATCGTTGAACAGGCTGAGCACGCGGCAAGTGCAATGACCACCAAGCATGCTGTGCTCGTCATTTGGAAGTTACAGCACCAACCACCTACCGCGAATCCATTTGACTCAGCAGTAGTCCAACATCCACTAAGGCGGACAAAGTAGCTTCCGCGCTAGCGGGTTAGAGCCTTGACAGGGCGCACCAACACTGTATACTGCAGCATACTGAAAAGCCTGTAAAGCTTCCCACACTCGATGAGCGAGCTCTGTGTGCCAATCTACTGGAGGAAGCGAGCATAACCTTCTGTCAGTCAAGTGCGGCAGTATCAACGTCTCCGAAAAATGCCACCTGTGGAAGAAGATGTGGGTGAATAACGTGATTCACCTGCGAGTATGCCAGCCCGGCCTCCCCCATGAGACGGTGTCAAGGCACCTTGCCCCTGTCCTGTCCTGTTGTGTTCGTCAACGGCGCAAACCCTGGACGCGCACTTGCTTGCTCAGCAATCAGTGTAAATCGCTCCTGTGCAGATTCAGCTGGTATGGGAACTGCGAAAGCATCTGTAGTAGATGCGGTTGGAAGCCGTTCTCCGGAGGCAGCCCTGGCCTGTCTCCTGCTCCCGCTGTAGGATGGGAGGTTAGAAACCTCTCGCGAAAAAAGCATCGCACTCGAGCGTCCTTGAGGAATATTAGGTGAAGCGAAATGGGCAAATCCTGCACTGAAGTGCTGCAGAGAGACCGCCTGTCCTGGTGGTGCACCAAACAGGCAATGAATGCCACGCTGTGGATGATAAACCGGAGGTTGCCTCGGACGGGACTCAGCAGGAGCCTGACTGTCGGCTCTCATCCACATCGCCGATCCCACAGCTGTTCGTACCACGCGTCCTGAGCTCTGAGACGCTGGGATGTCTTGTAGATGTGAGTGCATCTGTCCAGCGACCTGAATTTGTTGCTGGCGATTCCACACTGAAAGTGCAGCGAATGGCGGCCCACCTAAACTGTCAGACGAGCAAGGAACCCTATTGTTCTCTTGTGAATCCAGCGTACTCCACCCTCCTTGCCATGGGCCCGGCATCACTACAGGGGAGCCTACAAGAGTCTTCGGCGGAGGTGGTAGAAGACCGCCAGCGCCTTCCACTGCATCGATGATAGTTTGCATTGCGCTGCTGGTAGATGGCAGTGGAGCTCGCCGCAGCCTGAACTGCTCTTCACTCAGGAGGAGCCAAACCCTTCTGTGCCGCTGCCATGTACTGATATGATGTCGAACAACTGTATCCCTGACAATAATGCTCCCGTGTGCCTCGGCCAAGGCATCCAAAACGGCGAGCTGCTGTTCCACCAAGGCCGGTGGCAGTCCTTGGCTTGAACCGCTAGCGTGCTGCGAGAGTCCCAGCAGCACATTCAAGGAAAAGCCAATTACCAAGACACCTGCATTCACGATCGCAGATAGTTTGATGTGTAGGAGTCTCGTGGGCGTCTGTAAATGCATGAAGGAGGGCTCTCTGATGCCTGCGACCAGCCCTGCTAGTGAGTGGAGCTCTTGGCACACCCTCTCATGAGTGCTACAAATTCCGCCATTGTGGAGAGATACGTAGGCCAACGAAATGAGAGCTTGTCCTGCGCGTAGGCGCAGATGTTGGAAGGATGAGGGAACAATCGCAAGAGCTCCCAACTCCAGTGCAAAAACACGCAACACCTTAAACGCAAGCCGCAGAGCTTGATCAGTCTTCAACACAGGCAGGAGAGAAGCGCAACAATGGGAGGCATTCTCCATAGTCATAAACAAATTTACAAGTTGCAGTCGAACAGATTGAGACAGCAGCTGCTCTCTCCATTCATTATTACCTCCGTACGTTCCCTCATGGCGACTGCTTCCAGCGATCCGGTCCGCTCCAGCTTCTCTAGTCTGTGCATCAGGTAATGCATTCGTTATTCGTAGCGTTGACACGCGTTCCTGCTGAACGTGACACGGTGGAGTGCCGCTACTCCCCAGCTCCCCAACCCAACGACGCGGGTGTCTCAGACCGCTCAGCTCTGCTTCTTCACCTTCCTGCGCTCCCCACCCCGATTGGCATGGCTCGTCTCCCCCACCAGCAAGCCATCTGGTAGGATGGCCCTCCCCAAAACGAGGTGTTCCGAAGTGGAAGCAACGCAGCGCCACGAAGACAACTGCCAAGCAGGCCACCGTGAGGGTTAATCTATACGCATGAAGCGGAAACGAGGCCTTTGCTTTGTAAGTAAATCTGGGAAACTGAGTAAATCCCCTTAATATGCGCACTCCTGCATGTGTCTGTAAGGCCGTCTCCCTGCGGACGCCGCCCGAGGACTTCAAATAGTCCTCAGCCGAAGAGCCAGCAGGCCTGCTCATTGAAACGCTTTAATAGTCACCGCATGCAAATTCGAAAATAAGAACAGCGGCGAATCATGCCCCATGCCTTTATACGTTCCCAGCTGACCCCATGAAGGAACCTTTCCTTTGCAGCCACTGTCTCTAGGCAATGTTCACGAGCTCGAATGCCAAGTTATCTCCCTCTTTGAAGACGACAGGGGAAGTTGCAAGTCTTGTACGTAGCACTTTTCTAAGATGAATAATAGAGAAGAGTGAATGCCATCAAGCAGCATGTCTAGGCAATGTGCCAGCACTCCAGACTCTGATGTGTCTCGATGTTGCATACCATCGGTCCACTGAAGGCAGCACTACAACAGAACTGCTCAATGATTTATTTTACTCTGTGTATTAATTGCTTTTTTTTTCTTAATCAGGACCTACTTATAGGCTAAGAGGATGCTCCTCTTCCCTTCATTCGTGATCCGGAACTAGCAGCAGTTGCGTCTTACCAAAGTCCCGCCAACATGCAACATGCGTTCTGCGCGTGTATGTAGATGGTTACGTGGAACAACACATGCTTCCGCCAAGAAAATAGATATGCAAACTTCATAGTTGCATGAGATGGTTAAAATGTACATATAATGGAAGGGAGAGGAGGAGAATACGGGTTCAGGCGGCGCTGCCTCGAGGGGGATAAGGCGCATGACCATCTCCCGAAAAGAAAAGTTGAGTCAGCGGGAGGGTATAGTTACACCGAAAATTTGAAGGGTGATCGGTTCTATACACAGGTCCTCCTGCCCAAGGAGCGGCCCTGTAGCTTTCCCCTATGAGCCCGGAGACAAGCCTACACAACTCCGTACACTGCAAAGGCATGCTGTGTACCCACCTTAACCAAGGGTACTTAAGGCAGTGACCTACCCAGGATAAGCTAACCGTCCATTTACACTTTGCAAGCATCTGCCCCAGACGGAGTCTCCGGTGGCAGCACGCCTCCCCACAGACGCCTACTGGAAGAGCTGCCACGACGGTAGTTAATGCTCACGTTGGCCCAAACCCGAATGGGCAGTTTTGGAATGGCTCGTTTTGCCTCGTATAGTACTTGCAGCATGCGGACACACACGGAACTGTGGAAGCGGGACTATTATGACAGAAAAACCACTTGTGTTCACATAGGTCCACAGGACGCAACAGAAGCACCCAACAAAATATTTACTAGGGTGGTTTTACAACCGCATGATTATCTATTACCGCGAAATGCCCTTGGTCAAACTTATAAGAGAAAGGCCACCCCCTTGAGTATAATGAGGCAAGACAAATAGAAGATCCACTCAATAATATATAGAAGCATATGTATATTGTAAATACTAATTGCATGAATATGTGCATCTGTGCCTGATGCTGTTGAATTTAGTACTCTTCATTTTAGGGCGTTCATTAACACTACATAGCCATTCTCCAAATGTGCCTCAGCATGAAGACCCAGAGCGCTGAACAGTAGTGGCCTGCTGAAAGCCTTTCATGTAGTTACATGTGAGAATACTTGAAAAGAGAATTCCGGAACTCTTGACTAAAATCTACTTCGCTTGGTCCTAAAACAGCCACTACGGAAAAATGTCCATGGTTCTGCGCTTGGCTATGTAACTAGAAGGTAGACGGACGCTATTAAAAGTTCACGAGGTGGTGGACGATGAGCTGCAGTAGGCTACTGGGTGGGATGCTGCGCAATTAAACAGACCATCCTGGTAGCATGCTGTATCTGAAGTTGATGGGTGTTCCTACGTGCGCGCTGGTTGGTTACCGGAAACAAACTAAGCACTTGGCATTTGTCTTTGGTGCTAGCCCATGCACCGACAGGGGGCAGGGTATGCTTCATGCAGTGGCACCTTAATGCAGGGGGTTGAATAAGGAAGGCTGCAACTTATGACACGCCATCTCCACATTGCCCTAGCGCCACGCCCTTGTGACACTGCGCTCAGGACAGCTGAAAGATAGCAGGGAATTCACCTAGTTGTAGGGAGGTTCTAACTAAAGTGTTTCACTGTTTTTCACCTCCTAACGGTTCGTAAAGATCGGCTATACTAGCTACACTTGTGAGCCCTTCTGGTTCAGAGAGGAAGGAGCAACCCGCGGACCTCACCCCTAGGGCCGGATTTAGAGCACTGATTAGCTATGAAGCATCCTTGCTCTGAGAAAAAAACGGCAAAGTAAGATAGTCCCTCTGCAGTTACACCAAAGGCTCAACCGTTTTGCACTAGGCTTTTGGTGATTAATTAGGATCTGCCCCTCCGCACGGCGACAGCCAACAGCTGGGAACCTAGCCAGATTCGAAAGAGTACCGTATCCCAGCTTACCTGAAAATGGGTCTACTTCGAGAAAAAATAATGAAAAATAGCACTGCTTTTTTTCCGTCCCCCCGCATACGAAGGGCAACGATAGGCTGGGGCAGTGGAATAATTCCTTGGTTCTCGGGAAGCGTTCTCTCGTCGTCAAAATGTAACAAATGAGGTGCAGTTGCTGTTGGCAGCCTCTCATAAAAAGGGGACGCACGACGGTGGTGGATCTATCTGGGCAAGGTTACTTCATGTCCGAAACACCTGGGATAGGGGAGGTTTGGGAAACGCGCTGATATCTCGGTTTGTCCCTCCATCAACGAAGTGCTACAGCGGAATCTAAAAAACGTCAAAAGTGAAGACATCGATGGAGCGCCATACAGAGAAGGATCAGCTTTTGGGAAGCAAAGATCCTAGTGTGCAGTTGAGCTACTGTATCGATGGATAATAAAGTGCTGTCCCCTCGAGAAAACCCGCGACAAGGCAGGGCACGGCGAGTGGATTGTGGGATAAGAGGGTGGAACTCGACGGCGCAATGGAGTACGTATATATCGAGAGAGAAGAAACTACCTTCAGAGGAAAGGAAGAAAAAGGCCTTGGAGACGGACCATAAACAGGGCTTATTAGTGCTGGGGACGTTAATGCCCCTCCCCCGCAGAGAAAAACAAGAGTCAAGAACAGACCTTTAAAGAGCAATCGCGTACTCAGGACAGGGACAACGTACCCAGCTGGAGTGCGCAGGCACTACAATGGAGTTTTGGTGTGGCCTCTAGAGGCCTAAGATCAGGAAAAGGAACGAATATTGTAGAGTATTTCAGAGATTAGGGAGATTAGGACACTTTTAGATAGGGGAGCCGCTCCATAGGATCAGAGTGGTCGCCAGCTGGCACCAGCTTAGGGCTGGGTGCGAGGCTGTTGCTGCGACCCTGGCCCACGCCCTAGGCGAGGGTCCGGCGTCGGTTCTATTGTTCTGGCTTTTCTCTCTGAACA